ATCCTTGACGCGCGGGGAGGTTTTCCCGGCGCGTCGGGGATGAATCCATATATCGATTGCAGAATCGTATCCTCATATCGCCGGTTCACAGAGAGGCGACGTGGTCGCTTCCATCCAGCGCGACCATCCACGTCGACGGGACGCCTTGATTTATGGGCAGGTTTCGCCGTGTTCAACCAGCGGAAACAAGGACACTGTTGGATTTTCGTGTATATACGCGTTAACGATTCAAAATGGCGAGAGATTGCCCAGATTTAACCTCGTCCGGATATTACCTTAGAATATTCGCGATGATTATTCAAACGACCAAGGATAACGTTCCACTCGTCGCCGTCAAAGATCCGCCGAGATAATTACGCGATGTGCGTAATGCGAATATCCTTCGATAGTGACTAATGCATGCGTTTTAAGAAATATATTCGAATATTTGTTTAAAAATTCGCTTTAGACAATTTACGATTCGCGATAAAATTTTATTGTTATATTTTCAATTTATTTGTCACAAGTTTTAATGGATATGATATCCTGATATGTATTTTACGACAGATACATATTTACTTTCTTCTCAAATGCTTTTTATATTTCATATATAGCGCACACAATAGAAAAGTTATAATCAATATAAATACAATATTTTTCTATTTCGAATTTGACCGCAAAAATCAATCGCTGAAAACGAGCTTTATGCATTGTTATAGGTATCTTTCAATAATAATTATAATGTGTACATTAGAAAAAAATTCAAAATATTCAAACATTTATCTAAAAATTTGCTTTATATACGATTCGCAATAAATTTCTATTTATTTTCCATTTATTTGCCAATTTTTAATAGATATAAATATCCTGATATATATTTTATGACAGACGCAAATTTTTTTTCAAATATTTTTAAATTTTATATATACGAAAAAAATCATAATTAATATAAATATAATTCTTTTTCTGTCCTAAATTTGATCTCAAAAATGAGTTTCACGCGATGTTTGAGACACAAATTTGCCCTATACTTCAGCAACATACACAATACATACATCTCACTTTAGATAAAATGTAATTATTTCAGCGATAGGATAACACATTCCACACAGTTACAACTCAATTATTCAGATAACAAATTCCTCAAGTTCCGACAATAGCAAATTATTCGAGAAACGTAAATGGATTTCGCTTCAACAGCACGTTTTATACATTTCCCGATTTTCGTGATTAAATTATACAACCAATAATACATTCTCGTGATTTATTCTCGTTATTTACCATCGTGCTTGTATATCAACAGTTTGACATTATCGAATGAAAGAGTTCTACTTTAAGCCGGATACTGCATAGAATTGAGTTACCCGTCCAAGTAAATTTGAACGAGTAACAAAACTTTTTAAACGATTATGCACACATGGTTGTAAATATGTACCGTACAGATTTATCAAAGGCTTATAAAACCGTAACGTAATAAAGCGCTGCTGCGGAGAATAAGAAATAATTTCCACGACCGCGATAAGTTTACTCAGGATGCAATACGCGTAAAGTAGTTAATTATTCTTATCGCGAAACACGAATGAAAGAGGGGCGACCGACGAAAATTACAAACTTTGCGACACGTTGCAAGTCATTAGGAACAATCGCCGCGTCGTACAAATTATTAGGAAAATTCCTTTCGGAATTCTCTTTAGGCGGTCTGTAATATTCGAAACAACTTTATTTACTGTAGGAACTAGTGGGAAAAGAATCAGAATTCATATTGAAATGCGTGGCACGTAAAAATGAATAGATTTCTATCTTGAATTCTGCAGCCAATTATCGTCTAAAAAAAACACGAGGGGAACGTTAATGAATACTCTCTTTCAATTACGTGCATCTTGCGTTTTCCGGAAATTAAATGAAAATGTTATGTCGATGTAAAATCATATATGCAACTCAACACCATCGAGCGAAAAAAAAACGTGGCTCGTTTCGCATAAAACTGCGGATATTCCGATAAGGAACAACTCTAGATTAGTCGTAATGACATGGGATATTTGTATAATAGTGCTTCATTTTTAATAACGGATGTAGCGAGGACGATGAAGAAGTAAACGATAATTTCCGGTAAAGCTTGCGGAAAATGACTCGGCGATTTTCCGTTTGGATTATTTCGCTCCTCTCCTCTTTTCGCCTTCGGTTTTCGCGCTATTGTTTTTGCTCGCTAGCTCGTATAACGTTTATGATATTGAACTTACCCTGGCACCGTGATATTTATTTTGCGCGTCGTTTTCAAGCTTCACCGCGTCTTTCATACGATATTGTGTTAGTTACGAGAAGCTTGGTTAATTTCGCGGCTCCCTGAGAATAATTTATGGCACTTTTCCGCGAAAGATACAACTGTACTTTGTTCCGTGAGAGAGATAAAGAGATACGTATGCGTATATCTTCAACTAAACCTTCTCTCAAGACAGGATCTCTTTATTTCTGACAATAGTGTCTAATAAGATGAATTAATAAACACGTGTGATTAATAAGCATGGTTGCGAAATTTTACGATCTAGTCTTAACTCGAATTTTTCTAGCATCTTGTATAAAAATTCGTAATAATTTATTTAAATTGCAAATAAAATATGTATCCGTTTATTTATATACATATATTGTTTTAGTTGATTTGATAAATTAAAATAATAGGAATATATTTTTGTATCATGTATCTATAAGAATAAAAATGTAAAATTTTTTTCTCGGATACCCCATGTCTCTTTAGTCAAATAATTGTGTATATATTATTTCCACTTAAGGATTAATTTTGCGGTAAGCGATAAATATTGCAAATTATTATCCGCTGAAATAAAATTTAAATCTTAGCTTTTGAAACTAATTAATCACTAACTAAACTAGTTATCGGCGATACATCAACAGGGAATTAACAACAGAGCGTACGCAAATATTTTATTTGTAATGCAATGGATTGCATGGCATTGCATAATAGTACGTTAAAATATGTATATCCTGCTCTATACAATACCTATATCTGCAATAAATGTAACAAATTAATTACAAAATGTTAATATAATTATAAAAATATTAATATAATTATAATAGAAATAGCTTTATTTCCTCACCGGGCATTAGTCATATCGTGAGATACCTAAAATATCTTTATTATACTAATTTTAATACTAATAAAATATCTTTATTATATTAATTCAATTTCGTTTACACAGAGTATGCTAGAAAATTCCGTCCATTTATTTAATTTTAATATTATAAAATTTTAAATGAATTTACAACCTATTTTTGGGGGGAGAAAATTTCAGAAGAACATTTATACTATACACACACACACGCAATCGCATAACATTAACAATTTAAATTAAATGTAGCCGTAATTAAATACTGAAGAGAAACTTTGAGAGAGTCCATTTAGATGAATAATAAAGTTTCATTTATATTTAATAATTCAGTTAAATATCAAGTTTAGTTTGCAACTACATTTTTGATCATTTATATTTTATCAGGTGGCTAGTACGTCTTAATTAAAGTAAAATCTATTCTGATTGATAAGAAATTTTACGAATTAAATAAACAAAGCTATTAAAAGCTATTAAACTCAGATAATTTTAATTTCTACGATTCTTTACTAGCTATTTCTGCGGTGCGTTTGCCTCTCGCGTAATAAAAATCAATATCGCCAATGAGAACATATTGTGACAAAATAGATAAACTCTCATGAAACTAGCCATGACCAAATATTATTCTATGTAAAATTTAAAATCAACTTTTAATAAAATAGTTATGACAAAAAAAAATTTTAATGAAATAAAATTCAGAGATACGAAAATAAACAATGGAATGTTACAAATTGTCTCTCATTGTCAGTGTTTAACTTGAAGCAAATTTAAATGGAACGTTAATATCACGCTTAGATGTTTAAAAATAATATATAATGATAATGTTTAAAAAGAAATAATATGTTTATTTGTATTCTTGTTTTCATGAAAAAAATGTTTTGTCGCGAAATTTATTAATTTATATATGTTAAGGAATATATATTTATATATATATATATTTTTATGAATTGTTAAGAAATATATTTTAATCAATTTTATATAAATTAATATTTCAATAATCAATTCACACATATGAATATTATAATTAAATACAGAAGTATTTTTGCTCGCTCTTTCTTTCATGTAATGTATTTTGTGATTGATGAATATGTATTTTGAAATTATAGATGCACAAGATGATCTCTACGGTTACCGTTATTAATAAATCGTGTTTTACGTGTTACATTCCCAAGATGTTCCCCTCATAATTTAAAATCTATTCGCGTCGGGACTTCCAGCGCTATATCGAAAGAAGAACATTCGAGATTTAAAACACAAATATGCTATCGTATACATTGAAATTGTTATTAATCGCGAATATGTATTGTTTATTTGACCGGCTACATTTTCAGAAAATTGTGCGTTGCGCGAATCGACCTTCGCGCAAGGACACCACGTCATCTGACGCTCGCTCTCAATTTCGAGTCTTTTCCCGTTTGAAAACAGCGAATTCATCGCGTGACGTTTCGCGACGATTTTCGCGAGTCTCGTTACGTCCTGCACCGATTTTTCTTTTTACGAAACGAAACAAACGACGCTCCAATCTTACGCGAAAAACTTTTCCAGAAATGTAAGTCGCCGATTGAACAGACGGCGATTCCGCGTTTCTATTCACGGCATGGTCATCGACGCATCAGGTGTCAGTCACCCCGAGTCGTGAGAACGTCGAATTTCGCGTACGCGACGCATGTCATACGCATACACTGTATACATCATCTTCGTCGCAAGAACAATATCAATGCGATGCGAAAAAAAAAACAATCACACTTTGCGATAAATCCCGCGAACGCGTATAAATAGGACAATCCTAATCTAGGAATAAGTGCGAAACTTGTCACAAAAATTTTTGTCGTCAACCATTTCTCAAGATACTCGCTAAAAATCTCTCTTTGATTCGGAGCAGAAACAACAACTGCTACTCACCCGGTGTTGCGTTGATTGTGGCAATTTCGTGGCACTTGTGACCCGTGGTCGACGACGTCTTGGTTCGTCCCGTGCAGCCTTTCACCGTTTCGCAATCAGTCAAGAAGCTGCGAGGATGCTTCAAATTTCTTCATCCTCCGTAGCGTCGATTTATTCCTCGGATCACTCGCGACGCGCCACGACGCACCACTGTAAAACGCACGAGCGTACGCGGACACGCACGGACGCGAGCGCTACGGAACGAAACCCTCCGAACGCTCCCATCGGTCAGCTGCTACTGACTGACTAGACGTCACCGTGACGTCGTCACGCCGCCGCGAGGAGAACGTGCGAGTCGCGCGCCACCTCGCAGCACTGCGCGGCAGCTTTTGCGGTTGCGTCTCCCACCGACAGATGACGCTGTCTCGTACGCGCGTGCTCTTGCGATATTCTCGATTTTAAAAGCGACTTCGAAAAAAGATATTTCGATTAAATGATGATTAACTTGATCGTACATGCAAAATATGAGAAGCGCCCGATACTTTCTTCGCCAATCCCGATGCTATACTTTATCTAGCGATATTTATTAGTTATACTTATTAAAATTACTTAAAATCGTAATCGAACACGATGAGCTAAAAGTGATTCTTGTTACCGTAATGTCGTCTCGTAAATAACGATGACTATCATAGCACATAATCACATCGATCGAGTTCCTTCGATCTGCGATACTCCATCGCGTAATCGCGTGAATAATTATTACAAGCGTTTCGATATTATAAATAACCGCGCACAACGCTAAGAGCACTGGACGTCTCGACTTTGGACGCAGGTACACTGTGGTCCAATTCCGAGATTCCTTGCATTTTAGGCGAATCAAACATGGCAGTCGTGACGTAAGCAGCTATTTTATATTAAACGTGTATGCATACATCGAATGTAAATATATATTAACGTACGAGTGAGAGTGATAGAAGTTTGGACAAATTCTCGCGAGTAGCATTACTAAGAAAATATTTCAAACAAAATGTCATGAAAAGATAAAAAGACGTGAGAGTGGCGAGAAGCAAGACTTGCTTTTCTCTTTCTTTTTGCGCGCGAAATCCACACAATTTTAAAAATAATCCATTGCTCAACATCATCGTTAAAACATTAACATTTCTCCATATTTAAAATATGTTACGCAGTTTATAATATTTCCAAGAGAAACGAATTCATTATTAAATGAATATTAAATGGAGATTTAATGAATATATTTGTTGATAATTAGTGATAAGAATTATTTAGTAGCATTTGCGTTCTCTTTTCTTATATTGTCGCATTTAATAAAAACTGACGCTCGAATAATTCACATTAAGACGAACGGATTTAATATTATATGTATTCACGTGATATAAACTCGGAATCGAAAGTCGAGGTGATCTCTGCATTTATTTGTGTAACGTGTGTATTAAGAACGCTTGAAAGAAAAAATGTAAACAGTTCTTCGTCGAAATAGTTTCTATCGATATATTATTCTCATAGCGAATCAAAGTCAAGTCAGTCGTAGAGTTTGGTGGTTGAGAGCAAGTACATGTACGATCGGAACGATAAAAATCCTCATCATATTAGCAAGCATCGTAAAGAGATATTAAGATGAGTGAAACGGTAAAAATAAAATACGGAATTTTGACCGGTATGTACGTGACAGGTTGTATTTTCAATGTAAAATATATTATATGCATGTAGAAAAAAATATGTGCTAATATGTTATAAAACCCATTTGAAAAGATACGTTATGTATAAAATATTTTCATTACTTGTACGTTGCGAAGATTAAATATAATCATGTGTCTTATCAAATATCTTTGATTGTTATTATAATTTTATATAACATAACAATATTGTTTACTTTTCTAATGTATTAAAATTACTTTTTTCTACAATTAATGCGAGTATTTGAATCAAATTATAATTTAAGAAATACATCTAATTTATAGACTGTGTTTATCATATATTTTCTAAATTAATAACATTTAATTATTATAATTATTTATTGTATAACAGAAACACATACACAAGTATACAAATATATATATATATATATATATATATATATATATATTGTATATATAAAGTATTAATAATTTTATTATAATTACGTAGTATATACCGGAAAAGATCTACGAGAAGATGCAACAGCATATAGTACAGAGATGAGCGATTTGATAGATTGTATTAAAAATACAATAACGCAAAAATATGACGTAGAAGTAAATGATATATTGCTACCATTTGATGACATGATGGTAACTAGATATTTTAAATGTTCTTTTTATGTTGTTAACGTTTTATGTTATATTGTTATGTTCAATATATTATATTTTACTTTACTTATATGATATAGGCACAAATAAATTCTTGGTGCAATGAATTTGTTGATACTATTTTTATTATTGGTCATCCATATTATTCTAATAAATATAAGGATTTGATGAAAAAACTATATAATAAAAATATAAATAAGACTATAGAAAAAGTTGAAAAAAGTTTGAATAAACATATTAATAATGAAGGATACGCACATATATTAGAAAACATAAAGGCGAATTTAGAACCCAAGTTTCATCGGTAAAGTTTTACTTTTATATATTTTATATCTTTTTATTTTTCAAATTATATAACAATTTAAATGCATTTCCTCAGAAGTATATGTGGACTTCTAAAAGCAACGCTAATCATTAATTTATTTGGCTTCAATAAAGAAGAAGCAGTAATATGCATTGATGTAATTGCAACACTAATGCAGCTTAAAAATACGATAATGACACAATTAATACAGGAAGAAGAGAATAAAAAGAAAATAAATCAAGCTACTTCATCTTCTTCAAAAGAAACTACTACATCTTCTTCAAATAATACAGATCAGGTAAGATTTTTTTTGCTTTAGAAACAATGTAATAATTTTCTATATGCAATTAAATATTTTTACAGGTAGAGGAAGATGAGATCAAACCCCATAAAGAATCACATACAGATGAGGTAAGACTTATATATTAAATTAAAGTAATAAAAGAGGAAAGAATGTATGTGAGAAAAGCAATTAAACATGCAATTATATCTCTTTATAGGAAACTGACATGTCGCATTACACGTGTAAATTTGTTGCTTCTATTTTTTCTCCACCTATAACGAAGGTAAAGTATCTTTCATATCAAAAACAATACAGTAATAACAGAAGGAAAGAGAGAGAAAAAGATTTTATATATGCCAATTTTCTCTTTTTCCTGGCAAATCGATGGAAATAGTAAGGTATTTTCTATATCAGATATAATAAAGCAACAAAAAATTTTAAAATTGTATATATACACTTGTGTTTACATACAATTTGATCATTTTATAGATGGAAAACGAAAATAAAGCAAAACGTTATAGCAATCTTATTTCGATAAATTTACAGAAAAATTATTTTCTAGAAATAACAAATGAGAGGGAATAAGAGATTTTATGAAGTTTTAATTATTTAAAATTTTTTTAGATAAAATTAGATAAATTCACCAAACTTTGCGAGACATCTCTTATAGACTATACACCTCCTTTGTCTGAAGAACAGGTAAAATATTTATATATTAGAAACTTCAAACGAGAGAAAGAAAGAAATTTTATATAAGATTGTATGAAATCATATATGTATACAAATCTTATAATTATAATTAAATTGCATGTATACAATCTTAATATTATAATTAGATTCCTTTACAATTGGATGTTGCGAGTGAAGTCACTACTGGCGCGAAATCATCTTCGTCTGAGACATTTATAACTGAGGTAGGCAATTTTTAATACTTCCTATATTAGAAATGATAAGAAAATTTTTATAAGATTATGTACAATTAAAATTTTTTACAATTTTTGTTTATAATTAATGATCACAATTGCTTTGTCAAGACGTCTGATGTATCAATGATGGAGGAGGTAAATTATTTTCTATATTAAACATAATAAAGAGATTTTATGAAATTATAAATGATAATTTTAAATCTCTTCACAGATGATCATCTCAAGTCCAGACGAGGAATCTTCTTTGCCTGAAGTCGCCGAGGAGGTGAGCTATTTGTTACATTAAAGAAGATAAAAGAAATATTATGCGAGATTGCATATACAATTAAATTTCTTCACAGAAACTGGGAAACATGATTTGTCAACAATATCCCATGATTGCTGTAAGAGATGCATTGTTGAAAATACAACGAAAAGTAAAATTTAGATACGAAGCATGTGATTTTGTAAGCACATATGAGGCTTATGGCAGAATATTGGGCGACTACGTATATTCTGATTACGATGTGCCAGCATTTAGATGTGCCGCTAAACATGGATACGCAGTATTGGCAAGTGATGGTGAAGGCAGAAGAGTAGTATTGAGCGGAACTACAGTAAGTTGTGATGTTAGAAGCTAAACAAAATATACAGCAATGGGTCAGAATTAAACAAAAATTTTTTGCAGTCCGATCCAATATCTCTCATTCCTGGGACATGCATGTATGTGAAGAGCGGAGCGCGTGTACCTGACGGTGATAATTTAATTACAAACTAATTTAATTACAATTAACGAGTCTCTCTGCAAATTAATGCTTCTCTCTATTTGCAGTAAAGAAATAATTATTATTTCCGTATCTGTTTCCAGAAGCAACAGCGGTTGTGCCAATTAAGGATGTAGAACAAATAATAATAAATGATGACACGCATGATTCAATTCTGATAAAGATTAAACCAGAATTCGGGCAGAATATTAAGTATGAAAAAAATTCAATATTTTTCTATATATAGTTTTCTATATATTTTTCTATATATATATATATATATATATATATATATATATATAGTCTTTTTCGAAATACTATCTTTTTAAATTTCTTATATAATTTTTGAATATTATCTCTTGAAATGTTGTTTTCCTTTTCATGTGAACGCTTTTTATATATTTTAAAGAGATATCGGTAGCGATATACCGAAAGAAAAACTAACTATACACCCATACACACGTATTGGTCCAGCGGAATTAGGAATTTTGGCAGCTACGGGTCGTAAAGCAGTTCCAGTCATTAAACATGTGTCCGTAGGTATATTTTCAATTGGAGATTTATTAGAGGAACTTACAGAGCCTTTAAGATCGGGATATGTTTATGATAGCAACAGAATAAGCTTAATCGCGCTATTAAAAGATAAAGGTTTTAATTCGATAATGGATTTCGGAATTGTGACGGAAGAGTGAGTGCATCGATATTTATTACGTATTTCTTGCCATTCTCATTATATTTGATTTAATGTGCAAATTAATATTTTTATTATTTTATGATTAATGTAACAAAAAATGAAAAATTAATAATTGACATTTTCGCAGTATACTACCTATAAAGATGAAAATCAAAGACGCTTTAAAGCAAGTGGTCGTACTCGTGACAATAGGCTGCTCGAACGATAATGATTTATTGAAGCCCATTTTAAAGAATGACTTTGACGCCACTATACATTTTGGTACTTTTATTTCTGAATAAACACTGCAGTAACAAAAAATACAAAAAGACGTGGCTGTTTGGGATATATAGAATTATATATAAAAAATGTGTCGAAAATTTCAAGAGTGATAAAATTAGAGTTTAAAAGTTTAAATTAAATAGATAAATAAATTAATAAAATATTTATCAGTTTCACACAAGTAGCAATTTTTAAGATACATATAAAAATTTAAACTCACAAATATAAATGACAATATAGCATTAAATTACTCTTTATGATTTAAATACTAATTCTTGGAATAAAAAATATCAAATTTAATGTTTCAAACATTCATGCTGTAATTTTATTATCTTCGAATTTTGTCACACCCTGTATACATATATTTTTTCAGGAAACGTATTTCTGAAACCGGGAAAGTCGACAACATTCGCAACATGCATGTTTGACGACAAACTGAAGTATCTTGTATGTCTACCTAAAAATCCGGTATCTACTTTCGTTTCCGCGCATCTGTTCCTTTTACCTATTTTGAACAAGTTGCACCACATTAAAATGCCTTGCAAAATTCCAGCTCGCGTAAGATTCGAAATTTAAAATGAAAGGAGATATTGTGCGTATAGTTATAATGTTATTATAAATCATATTGCAGATATACGAGCGGTATATCTTGCATTCGCGTCCTAGAGCGGCATGGGCGACTTTAAAATGGAATAAGGAGGATAATTTCGCGACGGCTTTTAGCAGAGAAAATCTCGACAGTGATAAGTCATCGAGCAGTCAAGCCGCTAATGCGCTCTTACTGTTGCCGCCACAAACAGAGGATCAGAAGGTGATGTGTGAGTCATTTGTACCTGCGTGTCCAATCAAATAATTAAGCGTTAATAACAGATGCTTCTCATGGATTATCATCAATAGCATTTTATGACGAAATAATTGCGTACATAATTAGGTATATTCGATTACGTATATACTATATGTATATATGTTTATATATAAAGTGTTCGGTAATAACTATCGAAAATCGCTAAATAGTATAGGACTTTTTTATTCAATTTAACACGTTTCACCTGTACACGAGAGGTGATACGGATATTATTGGACACATCTTGTATACATTAATATTGAAGAAAACAATTCTTTTATAATTTGAATAAAGCAATTTTTAAATAATGTTGTATAAGAGAAAAAGCTTGTATCTCGTTTTAACTGGAGGAAAGAATTGGATGTTATGTTGCTTTTTGATAATTCAACTTCCAACTAAAATTCTATTATATATATTCGAGGTTATGTGTATATATATATATATATACACGTAATCTCGAATATATATAACAGTATTTATATACATATATACAATATCTAATATATATATATATATATATATATATATATATATATATATATGATGATAATGATATATATAATATATAATATTAATAATATATATATATAATATACATATACATATATATATATATATATCTAAAGTACATTTATCATTACATATATATATATATATATATATATATATATATATATATACAGAGTGTCTGATAAAAATCATCGAAAATGATAGACAGGACTTTTCTATTCAATTTAACACGCTTCGCCTATACACAAGAGATAATATAGTTATTACCGGACATATCAATATTAAACAAAATAATTTTTAAACAATGTATAAAAAAGAAAGCTGTACACATTTCTCGTAATTGGCGAAAAGAATTGGATTTATTACGTTGCTTTATGCAAAACTTGGAATCATTTTCGCTTTAGCGAAGCCAAGTCACTGAAAGATTTTAAACTTCTCAAACTCCACGACTTAGTGTTTCACGACTTATTGTTAGCTTGGTAATTCAACTTTCAACTAAAATTCTATTAAAGACTTCTATCAAGACATTTCAAATTGAGGAACAAATAATAAGTCGTTTCGTTCTCTAAAATTTCATTTGTACGAAAAACATGGTTTAACTGATTTGCAGGTTTTATACTTCAAAAATTATTAATGCTTTTAAATATTAATATTGTTAACATTTTAAACATTAACATTGATGATAACTAATGGTTTTTAATAAGATTTCAGAAAAAGATGTTTATATATATATTTATATACTTTCTGTCAATTTTGGGTATGTGTCATAATGTAATTTTAATTCACACATTGTATGTATTGTGTAATGTGATGATAACTTTTGTTTATCATTTTATCATTGAAATTATTTCTGTCATCAATAAAATATGACATTTTTATATATTTGCGTCTAAAATACATTAATAATTATATTTTACCATACCATATATATGTTAGTAATGATGTTTATAACACATTAAACATGTTTCAAATCTTTGCAATGTTATAATTCAACATATAAAATGTCACCTAAAATTTGTAGAACGGAGGATAAGAAATTAAAATAACATTGTTTCAATAGAACAAGAAAGAAAAAAAAGAAAGATAAAATCACATTAATATCACAAGAGTCGAATCGCACTTTTAATTTATTCTAATATTCGGGTTATGTGTTTGCATTAATATTTTTTTCTTTTTTCATAATGCTCCGTTTTATTTAGATTCCTTGCATTTTGCTTCCTTTCTGCCGTTATTGATAGCAAATATAAATAAAAATTGGTTTCAAAGTGGAGAATGTAGAAAAAAAGACTGCAAACAGAGCGAAATAAACAGATGTCAAGAGCATTCCAAAGTTAAAAAGCGGAGGTGGTAATCAAAACATTTGACATTAGGATCGTGACGTCATCATATGTGCGCATAGACATATAAAATACATAGCCATCCAATAATTTCACGCACTTGGAACATCAATCACGAGTACATAATCGAACCGAATTTACCCGGAAGGAGCCGAAGGAGCTCGCATTCCAAACCTTCCCCCAACCCCTCTTACTCAACAGCTGATGATCTGTCAACGGAATATTGCATGTTTATGTGCGACTGGAATTCGATATCAGTGACAAACGAGAAGTAACTGATATGATGTAACTTGTTACACATGTAATATATGTTTGACATCGGCCTTGTAATCTGTTACAGCATACGACACAAGTTGCATGCGCCCATCGTGTAAGTATGCAGCTTGGCAATTTAAGACGAAGTAAGATTAAGTGGCATGTCCTCATTTTATTCCGAGTCTTTCGTGAAACAAAGTTAACGCAAATTTATCTCCAATTGTAATAAGAAACAAGTACGAGATACCGTGCGAGCATCATCGCGGAATGAGGCATCATTTTTTCATTATTTATTGAATTATAATTTATTTAGTTTAGATTATAGTTTAGAGAGTGTTTTTAATATAAAAACAAAAATTCTGCAAGTCTTCTATAAAAATTGCATGAATTTAATGCAAATATCGTGTAAAAAGTGGAGGGAAAAATGACGTGATCAAATACGACAATCTACTTAAATACATTTTCCATCTTTGAGTATGTTAAACATATTTAAATTTGAATATATTTATAAGAAAAATGTCGTAGAATACATCTTTTGATGGAATTGAAAAAGGCCATTTAATGAGAGAGATGCTTTAAATGGGATATGTAGAATATGTTGTTGAATATTTGATATTTTAGCGATAAGGTTCTAGGACTACAAAATTCTGAATAAGTGCAAAGGAATGGCGGTGTGGAGTCTCAGAACTCAAATCGATAGAACATTATACAAGAAACATCATCAGACAGAATTTTTCAATATGCTTGGCTTATTTATTAATCCTCCATGGAAGATTTAATTTTAGCCAATAATATTTTCTGTCGCTAATCTTCTATCTTGCTGTGAAGTAATTCTCAATACGTTTCACTTTATAATAAAATAAAATGGAAAGCTTCCTAGAAAAAAAAACACAACATAAAGAGTAAAAGTATTTTAACTAATATAGTATTTCAACTACATTTAATTTTAAAATAGTTTCATTTTATTGCATTTATTTAATATTGAGTTTAACATATTACATCTATCTATTTTTCCAAAAGTATAATATAAATTTAAAAATGTATATATTTTCATTATTAGTATTAATTAATATTATTAGTATTAGTTTTATATATTATCCAGAATTATTATATTATTTTGTTGGAGATGGAACAAAAATTTGATAACGCAGTAGTTATCACCCACAAGAACTTTCTAAAGAAGCTAAATATTGAATTGGAGAAGTGACCTACAGGTAGATTAAATGATGAGCCTAGTATCGGTTTGGCACGTACTTGACTTGGATTTCAGATAGGAAGATTAAAAACTGGTAAAAGAGAGTTATATTTTTATGCACACAGTATATTTCTTTTTTATTAATTGATAGAACATACAATCCAATCAATAGACATATTTCTTATTTTGTGCTCTAATTTATATTAAATTTATATTCATATTCGTTCATTAATCGAAGTTATTAAAGTTATTATAACATTACAACTTTTAATTATAATGATATATTAATTAGATTACACATATTATTAGGGATACCACCAAGGTTGGAGAAAGATAGCATTGACTTTATTAAGTGTATACATTATCTGTCGAATGATTCTCTGATGTCGTTTTTGTTTATAAATGATTATATGTGATTACCGTCTGAGAAACAAGTACTAACATATCTAAACATATACGAATGAGGACGTCGCAAAAATTATAAAGGACAGTTTGCACTGTAACTTACGGAGAAGATATCGGGTCCACGATATTGCCCGAGCATAGAGAGTAAGATTCCAAATGCCTAGGTATCAAATGTGGTTGAAGCCAGAAGGTTTGGACTCGTTGTTAATTTATCCGAGTGGATTATCGTGCATCCTGCCAGAAGAAAAACAAGTGGAACTCGTTAATTGTATTCCAGGATTAAAAAACGCTCATTTATGTATATTTAATCTTCTAATTTTAAGTTTATTTATCTTAAATGTTAAGTGGTTTAAAGATTATGCAAAATTTATTTCGATTATTCATGCGTTTTCAATTTCATTTTAACGATTTGTCTCAGATTTTGGAAAAAATCCGAACTAGATATTTAGCGTTTATTTGTCATATACAACGTTTTTAATTAATTTTTATATTATGTTAAATAATTACTATTATTATATCAATGCGTGCAATCATGTTTAAACTTTGCATTTGCATCTGCATTAGCGAAATCTGGTTATAGTGTTGAGTATGATTATGTAGATCTCCTAAAGAACTGACCCTCCAGTTGGAGACTAGAAAGATTTCGAGCCTACAAATAAACGGCACCACCGGTTATGAAGAGGCTGCCGCACAAAATAAGTTATTGCTGGTGTTAATATTTAGGGTCATTGGCGCATCAGATAAAAAAATTTCCCATGTAAAGAGAAAGTTTGGTATAGAATATCGTATTTTTTAAATTAATTGTTGTGAATCCGTAAAAAAGTTTGAACTTATTGCGAGAGAGAAATAATTTATAATTTTTTATCTCTAAAAATGATTTTCGTGTTTTATTATTTCCCAATTGTTGTCGATTGAAAAGATCTGATAAATAGGTATCCTTTTTTTTTCAAATATGTTTTAAACAAAATCTCGTATATATATATATATATATATATATATATATATATATATATGTATGTATTTAAGAAACCACCGTTTCAGATGAGCCTTATATTAGCGTTCTCATTGACACTTTAACAACAGATACCAACGAGCTGTACGGAATGTTCATCAGCATATCAGAGTTTCGATTAAGTCCGAGATTGAGAAAGACAAAGAGAGATAAATAAAAATAGAAAGAAAGAGAGATCTTGAACTGGATCGATATTTATAACGTATCTCTAGCACTTGAAAAATATTGCTCGATATTTGAATGACATATTTCGAAAAACGCATATCTTGCCTGAATTCAATTATATACTAATGGATTGATGCAAGCAACCTGCATCGAGAGTCACTCTGCATCTAAATACTGCGAAATTATAATATTTTCCATTTTTGTTTTGCCATTTTTTGGAAAAAGGCAAAACGGATCAAATGTTAAAACACTCTATAGAAATTGACAATTCGATTAAATAATCATTAAAAGCGCGATTATATAATTTTTTTTAAATTATCCAAAAAAATTATAGATCGGATAAAACGCAAT